GTTCTGGTTTAAGCCTTCACCAGCTACAATGAATCTTGTTACGATAATAATGGAATCCCAGCCTGGTTTGTGTTGGAAGGGACCTTAAAGCTCATTCAGTTCCAACCCCTGCCATGGAGAGGGACCCCTTCCACTGGAGCAGCTTGCTCCAAGCCCCTGTGTCCAACCTGGCCTTGAACACTGCCAGGGATGGGGCAGCCACAGCTTCTCTGGGCACCCTGTGCCAGCGCCTTAGCACCCTCACAGGGAGGAGCTTCTGCCTAAGAGCTCAGCTCAGTCTCCCCTCTTCTACCTTAAATAGTTTAATAGTATGAAATTATTAAATTACTCCTCTAAATTATAAAACCCAATAATAATTAAATTAAAATTCCATTAAACTAAGGCAGAGAAAGTGGGATCTCCTTCTTAGAATGAGCACAACTAACATGTATCAATGCAGAAGGTGGGTTTTATCTGCAGTCCCTTGTCCTGGCCTGTTCCCGGTAGCACACTCAAGCGTTGGCAGGTTCTGGGCTGCTCTGTCCTGTTGGGAGCTCCTCAGCCACCCAGCCCTGCCATGTGGTGGTGCCGGGCAGGTTGGGGGTGACCTGGGGCTCTCTGCACTGTTGCTGGCACTGCTGCTGGCACTGCTTTTTCCCTGTATCCTTATCACACAGAAGGGAGGTTTCTGTTTCTGGATAGTTGAAGATTTATGTGATAAAGACTGGGAAAATAGGTGGAACTGCCATTTGCATTTCAGCCTGTGGTACAAAGAGGCCTCTTCATCACTTTTCCCCACTTTGAAATAACATAGGCTACTGAGATTGCTTGTAAATAGTCCTGTATGTAGGTAACATGTGACCTGCTGAAGCCTGAGATGCCATGATTCCAGCATGGAGCAGAGATTTTGGGTGGTGTAACTCAGCCGGTGTGTTATGAAGAGTGAAGTGTTGGATTTGTGGCTGATGGGAGCCTAAAAGCCAAATCTGTCCCCAGGGTTGCTGAGCTGGGGTTAAGTGTGGAATCCAAAGCCTGTAAAAGGCAATGGAAAGGCACCCCTGCTTTTCAGGTCATGTTTTGTTAGCACTTTTAGGACTACAGCTCCTTCACCCCTACTCCTGACTCATTTTTTTCACTGCAGAGGGATCCATCAATGCTGGATACCTCTTGCTGCATGTGCCTGTGTGTTCTGTAACAGTAAAGCAAGAAAAGGCAGGTTGGAAAAAACATGAGCTAGCTCAAAGCCCGCAGTAGGGAAAAGCCTACACAGAAACATTGCTTCCTTAAGTTGTCATCTTGTTTCTAAAGCCTGAAGTTGCTCTCACTTCACGCTTTCAGCCAGGCAGAAGAGAAACCTACTCTTTTGTTTTGGTGATGTTATATGAGGAGAGAGGAGAGGTTTTTAACACGGTCTCTTCACCCAGATGCTGGGCTTTAAGGAAAGCACCAGCTATGGCAGGGCTTGAGAACAGCACAGGAGTTGACCCCAAACAGGGTTAACAAACTATCAGGAGAGAGTTTTACTGCTTTTCTCAGCATGGTTCCAAAGCTGAGGCTTCAGGAGCCTCTTGTTTGCTCCAGCCCCCTCACTTGATGGCCCTGCTTGAGCTGAAATTGCTCAAAAGGAAACTGATGGCCTCCAGTTCCCTGTCTGGTGGTGGCCGTGGGCTCAGCTGTTACTGAGGAGGCAGGACTGTGAACTGTCACATGTGAAGAAGCCTCCCCTCTTCACCTGAATGGTACTTCACCTTTGGGCAGGCCTGAACTGCAGGCAGGGGAGGTGTCAGACACTTGCCAGTCACTCGTCTTTTTTGCTTCAGACCATGGGCATTCAGGGTAACTGCATGTAATCACTGACCCACAGACTGGTTTGGGTCAGAAGGGAGCTTAAAGCTCCTCCAGCTCCAACCCCTGCTACAGGCAGGGACCCCTTCCACTGGAGCAGCTTGCTCCAAGCCCCTGTGTCCAACCTGGCCTAAACAAACAGACACCAACAAACTGGCCTTTTCTCACTAAACACAAGCCAAGTACTTACAGACAAGTAGACCAGAGTTAAGGGATCAGTCAAAAGAGAATGCTTTCACCTGCTTCATAGAACCATAGAATGGTTTGTGTTGAAGGGACCTCAAAGCTCCTCCAGCTCCAACCCTGCCACAGGCAGGGACACCTTCCACTGGAGCAGCTTGCTCCAAGCCCCTGTGTCCAACCTGGCCTTGAACACTGCCAGGGATGGGGCAGCCACAGCTTCTCTGGGCACCCTGTGCCAGCGCCTCAGCACCCTCACAGGGAAGAGCTTCTGCCTAAGAGCTCAGCTCAGTCTCTTTCAGCTTAATGCCTTCAGACTGTACCTTCACATCCTGATGTTTGGTTAAGTACACACTTGGAGAGAGCCAAACTTTACTACCCATCAGTAATGCCTGAGTTTTCCAGAGAGACCATCCTACAGGAGTGTTCTGCTATATGGACAGGCCAAGGGGAATAGCTTTAAGGTCCCTTCCAACCCAAACCAGACTGGAGTTACAGGGTTCTATGAAACATATTACAGAATAGCAGAGCAGTTGAGGTTGGAGGGGACCTCTGGAGATCACCCACTTCAACCCCTTGCTCAGAGCAGGTTGCTCAGGACTGTGTCTAGTCAGGATGGAGGCTGTACAGCCTCTCTGGGCAGTTCCAGTGTTTGAGCACTTGTACAGTAAAAAAAACCCAACAAAACAGAGCCCCCAAAATAAACAAGCATTTTTTCCCTTGCTGTTTAAACCTGATTTTCTCCGTTTCATGCCCATTGCCTCTTGTCCTGTCCGTGGGCACCACTGAGGAGCATCTGGCTCTTTCAGACTCTGGTATCTGTGTAGATACATTGAAATAAATGCAAAATCTGTAGGCAGTTAAATAAGACAGAGATAATGAGGAGATAATAGATTCAAAATACCAGCTTCAAAGCAGTCACATTTGTTCTTGTTTGATACTGGTGCTTTACCTGACATTTCCTGATGTGTTTCTCAATATACAGTGGGACAGCAAAGCCAATATGTTCAGCTGTGGTGTAAAGCAGTGATAGTGGGTGGGATTCAGCTGGTTGGACATAGATGCCTTCATCTGAAGTGGCCACTGAGAGTCTCTGGACAGCCACAGAGAGAAACAGGTTACTTCATAGATGTCTTCTTCAGGTGTCCATCTTCAGCTGAGTTCCCTAGAGATGCCTCTTTATCTCCAATGATCAGAAGGGGAGCCCAGATGGTCAGATGAGATGCAGGCATCTGCATATGATAGATGGATCCTGCACAGATGCCCTTGGAGGGGCTTTGTGTCCCCAGGGCAGCACTGATACCCCCTGTGTTTGCTGTGGGAGGTGTTTCTGGCATGATTTGGGTTCAATCCTGGAGTTAAATGTACAAACAGAGGAAATGGCCATGGGGAACAGAAGCTTACGGGTGTTCATGTGGGTGCACTGTGGGATGGCTGCTCTCAGACAAGGCTCCTCTGGAGAGAATTCTGCTTTCTGTGAAGCTGGTGTGTCTGGCAGAGCCTGCAGGGCCCTGCCTGTGTCTGTGGGATGGAGCTGGCCCTCGGCTGTCCCATGGTCTCCCCATGCACCAAAGGCTGAACACATCTCCCTTGGGTCTGCCCTGGAAGCAGCTTGAACTACCTGATGTACCTTGTTAAAAGCTTCTCTAGATGACACAAGTGTGAGCCTTGGGTGTTGTGATGGGGAGTTCAGTTCCCTGCCTCTTCCAGAGTCAGTCCTGCTGGGGTTCCTATACAGTGGCATTTAAAAGAGTCTCGTCAGAGTTCTGGGAATGTGCCCAAGCCGTGTTTGTGGCCGTTACTGTAGTGGGATATTGTGGGATGCAACCTGGAAAGCCACTGCTTGCGAGGGGGGAAATTCTTCTCCTTTGCCCAACTGCTGAGCAGGGCCAAATTCTGCAGAGTCCTGGACCCTGAACTTGCCATTGCCTTTGCCTTTCCTTTTTTTCTTTTTGTTATTGGCTAAAGACCTCAAAGCAAGAGAAGTGCCTTTGCTGGTACAACGTGGTGTGGTCAGTTCTGACCCGCTAGATCATGTCCTACAGCCGCTTGCATTTAGCAGCTTGGTGAGATGCTAACAAAGGTGACCTTCATGATGCCTGGTAAGAATATAACCTTTTTAAATCCCCCCTGAGTGACATACACCTAATGCTGAATGTGGGATTCACGTTCTCAAAGTTACCTATCATCTGTAGAAGAGCAGGAGGCTACTATTCTGTCCTGGTTCTGTGTCATGTCCTGCCCAATGGTGCCCTACCTACACTGCTGCCAAGAACAAAACCCAATACACTGGTGAATACCTCCAGCCTGTTGTGCAGTGACTTAAATCACTTGTTGTTATTGCTGCTCCATTTGTATTTTTCTAAGCATTTGTGTTCCACCAGCGCACTCAGTGAGTACTCTCGAGGGGGAATTTCCTTCCTGATAAACAATTCTGCAATGTGATTCAGCAGGAAGGATGTGGTGGTTGAGGCACTGAACTGGGATTTGGGAGACATGGGTTCTGTTCCCAACTCTACCACAGTCAAGATATGATGAGTGGAAGGACAAGCAAACAAAGAGGAGGAGCTGTTTAGCTATGGCAAAAACTTACTTCCCTGTGGACTGTCCACTTTGGAGGTTAGATGGGGTTGGGGTTTTGTTTGGTTAATCAAGTAAACAGGGTTAGATACTCCTGTTTGTGCAGTTGGAATCTGAAAGCTAATCTCAACCTCCTCCAGGAATGCAGATGTTGCTTTAACTACATGTTGGTTTAACTTACATGAGATTGCAGATGCCACTTTTCAGTATTTCTTCATTGACTTAATTCACCAAGTCACCACTCAGTCTTCTGATCTTCAGGTGATGTACTCTGACTTCTACACTAAGCCGCATACGCAGTTTCTCCACTCTTGCTTAGATTCAGTGGCAACAGACCACACACAAGGTATTTCCTTTGTCACACAGGGTGAAGTTCCTACAGTTTGAGGGTAACACACATTGGTTTTTCTTTTCAGGAACAAGAGCCTGAGCTCCCACCTCTCAGCTGTAGACATCCTGATTTGGCATTGCCTTTGGGAGGATGAATCAGGACAGTGACTCAAGTGATGAGACCACTGGTGAGTTTTCTGCTTTGTCCAAGTGTTTGCTTGTCTTCTCCTATTGGTTCAGCATGATTTGTTTTCCATTGATTTTACTTGATGCTACTGGAGGAGAATGCTGAACCAGAAGTAGAGCAAAACATGGGAACTCAACGCCAAATGGCATGCCATGAAGTTTACTGGATCTCTGAGGTTTCCTGGTCCACATCAGCATTCTTAAAATTGTATTCCAGGTTGAAAATGTTTACAGCAGTTGTTTTTATAACTTCTCACCAGCTCAGAAGAGCACAAAGAATCCCAGAATCCCAGACTGGTTTGGGTTGAAGGGATCTTAAAGCTCATCCAGCTCCAAACCCCTGCCATGGGCAGGGACACCTTCCACTGGAGCAGCTTGCTCCAAGCCCGTGTCCAACCTGGCCTTGAACACTGCCAGGGATGGGGCAGCCACAGCTTCTCTGGGCACCCTGTGCCAACCCTCACAGGGAAGAGCTTCTTTGTGATTTTATTACTGTGTGTTACACAGCTCATTCACCATTTATCCATAGTTTAGTTTTCCCATTATTTGCTTTTGTAGCTGCTTTATCCTATGAAATGAGACCTGTGGGAGGTGCACACACACTATTTCCATGTATCCCCTATGATGTCTCAGCATCAGGGTCCTTGACAGAGAGGTTGAATGGACAGGAATTTGTTACTTATTCTGGCTCAGTCCTGCCATAAATCTCCTCTCCTCTTCCATCCCCATCTTTGGTTACTAGAGTCCATCATCATTCAGTGCTTCTGGCAGTGTCTGCAGGGGAGCAGGGCCTGAGGGATGCAGCCTCCTGGGCTCCTGCTCAGCTTGTGCTTTTTTGGATATGTGAAGGGGCATTCTCAGTTCTGACGTGAGGGCTATTTTTTGACAGTTTCCATTGTTCTCACTCTTTGTTCATGGGTGAGGTCTTTTTGTCTGATGCCTTTTTCAGAAGCAGAGGCTGCTGTGAGCTCCCTGCTCACAGGTCTGGGGATTCTTCTTTTGTTGTCAAGACACTTGAGAATTTCTTCCTTTTTCAGACTCGCTTGGGCAAACTCATCCAGACAGTATCTGCCCATGGGGATTGCTGGGATATTCCCTTTCTGGGATTGCTAGGATATTCCCTTGCTGGGATAGCAAGGGAAATGGTTGTCATAGCCACCACCCTTGTGCCATGCTTGCTGTCACAGTTGCTGTGGCTGTAGGCAGAGCAAGTTGATGAGCTTATGGATCTGGACACCAGCCGACACTGCAGAACTTGCCATTGTCCCTGTGTTTAAATCTGGGAGTTCAGGAATGTAAAACTATAGGAAGATTCCTGTTGTAGCATGGATATCTATTCCAGAATAATCTGTCTGTGTTGTATTGCTGTGAGCAGGTGATGAATACACTCGGGATATCACACAGATTCATGAACAAAAGGACCAAGAGGCATTCGATGAAAGTGTCTCTAACACAAACCATCCTGGGTGCTCATGAGGAATGTGTGGATCACATGGTCAGAATGTTCACAGACTGCTCATTGCAGTCTTATCGTTTGCAAGGGTAATAAATGTTATGTTTTGAGCTTAGATCCACTCTCTAACAGGCACAGGCATGAAGCTGTCCAGAGGGACACGTTTCCAATGTCCTATTCACACAGATTTTGAACCTTCTACTGAATGCTTAGTACTGCTTCCTCTTGGAGTCAAGATACTGGGTTAGGCAGGTGATATCCACTGATACATATCTAGGCTGACGATAGGGATCTTCACATTCAGACCTCCATTTGTCCAGCTTCCAGCATCAGCCTTCTGTAGCCACCTATTAAGTTTTACATTGTGGTTTCATGTCATTATCTAAGCCTTGCTGCCACTGTGGCTATACTTAGAGAGGAAGGATGTTATAATCTGTGAAAGATTAAAAATATTTTGACTGTAACCCAGCTGGAAGGGCAGCATTTTTCTCAGGGCAAGGCACAGCCAAGGCTTTTCCCATTGCTGTCCTCCCCTTGTATAAAGGAAGGAAGTGCTGGCAAAGGCCCTCTCAGCTTCCTGTCGACTTTGGAGTTTCCAGACACAACCTTCTCCACCATCCATCACCCAGCCCAGCCAAACAATCCCAGCAGCACCAGGGGTAAAACACACATCTCTCATAAACACTGTGAGCAAAGCACCGGGGTCTGGGCAGCAGTTTGAGCTGGGAGCTGTGCGGGACAGCAGGCTGGGGATTCCCTCCCTTCCCTGTAGAATCAAGTGTCTCAATAATGAGAATTCCCCTTTTACAAAGGAATACAAAAGGGAAAAAAGAAGGAAAAGGCCTGATGTTTAGTAAAGCAGCTGCTACACTGACAGGTTGTGGAGGCTGAAACTGAGGAACTGATGGGTGATGTTTTCTAGTTCAGAGCTGGGACCCCGGTGTGATGTGTCTGGCCATAGGGGAAGGAAGGAACTGTTGTCTGCTGTGATTGAGACAGAGGTTTCTGTCAAGTCTTCAGGGTAGGGCGGTGGTGAAGCAAACACTACCTGTGCTGCCTTAGAGGAGGAAATAAATAAGGTGGAGGCCTCAGCTATACATGAATCAGCTTTGCTGAATATGATTCTGTGGCTCTCTCCGAGAAAAGGCTCAGAACTGAACCGTGACCTTTTTCTTGCACCATGTTTAAATGCTGCATTACAGTATTTAGGTAATGTTTTCAGACCTGTTGGCTCTGTGACCTCTTTTTGACCATTCCTCAAAACAGCTATTTGGTTTTATCTTTTTCAGTATGGTTTTAGTATTCTTGCCAGCTTTGAGCTGTGTGTTTCACATGGTTCTGAAAGCAAAAGCCTGCAAAGATTGGCTGTTTAAATGATGAGTAATTGTTGAATCATAGAAGCCCAGAATCCCAGATTGGTTTGAATTAGAAGGGACCCTAAAGCTCATCCAGTTCTACCCCCTGCCTTAGGCAAGGACACCTTCCACTGGAGCAGGTTGCTCCAAGTGCTGTCCGACCTGTTACTGAAATACCTCTCAAGATCACTGTGTAATCCCATTGTACAACTGGATATGACCGTGTATCAAGAGTCTTACGTGACAGAGAAACAACTTTTCAGTATCTGAGGCTTAATGGTCCTCATGCATCCAGCCTGAATGCTTTATGTGTAAGGCTGAACACAGAGGTTAGTCTTGGTGGGTGTGAGCATCCACACAGACAGAACTCTCTCTGCATTACCATGTTCTCAGCATTCTCCAGCAGGTGTTTTGGAAGCCATCCTATTGTTCTTTGGCCTGAGCTACTCCAAAGCTGCCTCCTAGTAGGTTGTGTTCAACAGTAAGAGGGCTAGTTTGTACTTGGGCGTGGAAGGAGGGGAATGGAAAGACTATTGACTACCAAGGCAATTGTTCCTGTCCTGGGCTCAAAGTAATGCTGCTCTTGTTCAACTGTATTCGTTTTGAGCCCACATATCAGCTAAGCACAGCAGCTTGTACATCCGTGTGGAGTTCAGACACCTCCAAGACTGATCTGTTTGGGTCATTTGAGGCTTTGGGGTAGAATTCAAGTGACAGTCCAGCTTGATAGTAAGTGAAAAATGTACACTGACATTTCAGCAGTTGCTAAATCGAGTCAGACAGGAATGGTGTGGGGTTGCATGTTCCTAAATTCACTGACACTGCAGGATTCCATCAGCCTTTCGTCTGACTTCTCTCTGCAGAAGGCTGCTGTCAGTAATTCCTGCAGCATGCCCAGTGGACTCAGAGTCAAACCAGTATTTACTTAAGGCCTACGTTTTGGCAAAGTTGGGATGAAACTGGAATAGGAGCATAAGCTCTAGGATTAAAGAACGAGATGTTGTTTTAATGATAAGGTTTTTAGGGAAGAGCTGTGGAAGTAATTGGTGAAGACTTTCCAGAATCAAACTGTGTACTACTGAGATGTGGCCACTCTGGTCCCATGTGCATACTGCCTGATGTGGTGGTTGTGTTTGTAACACATCCTTCGATGCAGTGTATGCTTTATATACTTATTCTTTATCATGTACAAACCAGTGTGTAATTCTTAACAACCTTGAGAAGCAAAAGAATCCCCAGCTCTGTGCTGGCTACCTGCAGGAGCACCTCGCCTGCCCAGCCAGATGTGTCTGTCTGTGGTTATTTCATTCCTCCCCCTCTGGTTCACATTTTTATTGTCCTTTGTCTGGGCTTGTAACAGGCATGGGGTGGGGAGTAAGCTCCTTAAATGCCTTTACAATACTCTGTGGGACAGAAGTGAGTCCTCATTTGAAATCTTTATGGAATGCAGTATTACGGAGTCTTCGTTTAAAATCTGACACATTTCTGAAATGCTAACAGTTATATTTGAATCTACCAGAAATCCACATGAATAACACCAATTGAAGCAGAAAAGAAGGTAAAAGCTGCTGGGGATGGGAAGGATCATGAGGAGCAGTAATAGCTGCTTGTTTATGAAAACAGTGGCAAACCTAAAACTAACCCATCAGGGTGATGGCTTAGAGCTGGGAAAACCCAGGTTTCCCACTGGTCAGGGCTGAACGTAGATGCTGCCCATTGAAGTTGTCAACTTTAAAAGAAGAAAAGCAAAACTCAGCAACCTACTTTCAGGCTGTGCTGTACAGCCAGGGGGTCCCAGGCAGCTTGTGGCATGTGGCAGTCTCAGTTCTCTGTTTTGTGAAGGCATGAATCTTCTGCACTGTGAAGCTGCTTCACTGCACACGGGAAGGTGCTCTCACTGACAGCCTGCAGCATAGCTTCATTGCCCTCTAGAAGATTAATTTATTGTGTCCTTGCTTGTCCTGGCCATCCCTTTTGGAGGGAGAAGACATCACTCAGGCAGCGGGTGCAATTCTGCTTATTTCCTACATGCACTCATCTCTTATTTATTATCATAGGATCATAAAACTCCGGACTGGTTTGTGTTGGAAGGAACCTTGAAGCTTATTCAGTTCCAGGCCCCTGCCATGGGCAGGGACAGCTTCACAGCCTGGGCCTGGGGGGACTGGTAGTTCTCAAAGAAGTGGAAGCAGGCAGGGACTTGTGAGCCCCTTCTGATGTGTTTGTGGCTGTTATAGCCCATGGCTCAAGGGAAGACAAGGCCTCAGGATTGCCAAAGCCTCTGAAAAGTCAAAGAAATAGGTTGTAATAGTCAAATGCTGTTTGCCCAGGGATAGGGCACAGAAACATGTGCCCTATCAGAAACACGGGGTGACTGAGAAGAGTTCTGTTTAGGTTGGACGTGTGGTCATAGCACATAAACTGATTGATAGCAGAGGAGTTTTCCATGGTTTGCCTGCAGGTCTCTACATTCCTCTTTGCAGAAAGGATGGAGTATAAGAGCTGTTTCCTCCCACTCTGGTGCTTTCATATAAATCTAGTGAAGACAAGGGTCATGTTAAATCCAA